TCACCTGACCCCAAGCATCCAAGTTTACAGAATCTAAACTAAGAGCCTTGACCACTCACCCGTCATCATCAAACTCACCACTAAACATCCAAGCGACACTATAACCCAAAACTCCCCTCTTCCATCAACAACGTGGGAAACAACCTGCCTCATGGCGCAATTGGAAAGCTCATGACAAAAAAGGCAACTCTGGAATAACACGTGAGAGATAGTGATTCCAGGGGGGTTCGTGGTTCGCGTCCGATGTAGTTTCAATCTGGGAATCTAGAAGGGGGGGTCTGGGCCTCAGGTTGCAAGGACGAGTGCTGTGATTCGATCGAAACTCTCGGATGGGAGGATTGGTTGAGAGGTTGTCGCGAACCATGTCCCACACATGTTATCATATGTTATTTTTTTGCGGAAATTTTGGATGAGTTTGGGGGTTCTGCGTTTGCTGTATCTCTCTCTCTCTCTCTCTCTTTCTCTCTTTCTTTCTTTACTTGAAGAGCGAAATTGAGTTTAGGTGTGTGGGCCAAGATGGGGAGTGTGGGTTGGATCTAGGTTGGATCTAGCTTTGTTGTGGGCTCATGATATCATAGTGAAGCTATTGCCCAGAAAAGCACACTCACACTCGCACCTGGTAAGCGGTAAATTTACAGGCTTATGCTCTGCAAGCCTCTATATAATACCTAACTTTACAATCACATCACGGTAGCAACAATGTAAATAGCATGAGAGGATTTCATGTTTTTAGGGTAGGTACGTGAACATGTTCAGTTACAGGTGCTGGAACTAATCGAAGTCATAAGACTATTTGGTAACATACATAAGTCTTTAGTGGTGGATACACATTGTGTCAAATGACCATCAAGAAAGGTAATTGTGTTTGAATGTATACCATCTGTCGCGCATTAATTCGTTCCTCTTTAAGTCTTGGGTAGACTTTCAACGACCAAGGTTTGACGAACATCTAATCCCATCAGAATTCAAATGAGTAAATACTTTTACTCGTAGATGAACTCCGGGTAGAATTTACAGGTAGCTTACGAAAAGAGCTACCAGTAGGTCAATCCCCAACACCAATGTAATCGACACAATAATCAAGCTCCAGTTGAACATCCCCATTAAAATGTTCTCCTTTAAGCGCATAACGCAGGAGCTCTGAAAAGGCAAATTAGACGATAACGATAAATTTCGCACAGTAAAATATCCAAGGTAAAATCAAAAGCTTCTTTATTTTTTCTGGATTTACAAAATCTTTCTCCTGTTCAGAAATGTGGAAAGATGATTTACGATTTATGTATATTTTTAAAAACGGGACGAGGATGTGTATTAAAGTAAATGCAAATGCAGTGATGATAATTATCATGGTGGGATATAGATAAGTTGGTAGTGATGATAAATTGACAACATCTACCAGGGCAAGATCAGCAGAAGACTGATGTTTGGTACACTGATAGAATAGCATATAAACATAAATCTGATAAAACAGAAAAGATAAGACGAAAATGGAAATGCACGCTTTGACTGAAGAAGAGAAGAGCGGTGACCATTCTGGCGCCAGGACATGCTATTCCATCAACAACTTCAGTATCATTCCTAAGGTATAGTGGAGTGAATGCATTCTATCCGTATCCATGCCACGAATTAACGAAAACACTGAGAATGAAGCGAGATATTCCTTCGAGCTGGACACCACTAAATGAATAATGGGGTAGATGTGAAGACTTACTGATACCGAATACTAACGGTAGTATCCAGCTTATCAAGTCGAAAATTATATGTCGGGGACGTGACATACGGATCATCGGAAGCGCCCGCTGTCCCCCTAGCGCCGGATTTACTTTGGTTTGGGATCCGGAGCTACCTCATTTTAAATCAACTCGCTTTCACGTACCCAATCTTTTGGGGTTTGAAGCTCGTGGTAAGATTGTAAGGAATAGTGTGATGATCGCTGGCAGATGTCTTTATGTGTGAATGTGATTGATTACCGCATCCCGTCCTTAAATAGCACAAGCACCAAAGGTACCATGGATTTCCCTTTTATTACTAATTGACGTGACGTGATAAAGTGGAGTTTGAATGCATTACTACCTAGACAGAAGATAAGATCACCATTGTAAAGCTAATCTGATATTTTGTAGTCTCCACTGGTTGATAACACTTAGGACGGATTGATGCAGTTTTCTGAGGCTGAGAAAAGAACATAAACCGGGAATCGGAAACACACGAATGCCCGGAAGTCAGTATGGTCTAGCTCCTCTAAGCTTTAACAAAATCTGGTGTACCCGCTGACCAAAGTATTGAAAGAGCAGTGCTGTTTACTCGATTAATGAGAGAGGGGAACGGAATGAAACTGTAATGTTTTGAGCACGTTTAAAATATGTGACTCTCACGATACAACTACACCCACTGATATCCGGTATTTGGCGACCCAAGGAACAGAATGTGAGATAAATATGGTCACTTTGAGGATGATGCAACAGCACAGCTGGTGTCGAATCTTTGAGTCTTTGACACGAGCGTCAAAACTAAATGATAATGTAATATCATACGACAAAGTAATTTCACCCGACCTCGATGCTGAGACCCTCACTGAAGCTGCATATATATTGAGGGAAAGACTATTCCAGCTGCCAAAGTAGAAACCTTGGGGGTAAACTACCGAAACAATGTGAAAGAGACCATGGTGAAAGAGACCCATGAATTCCGATAACTGAATCAAGTAGAACCGTAGATTGAGCTATACTACATTCCACGATAAAATTCGAGGTATTTAACGAAAATGTCTATTGCCTTTGTGGGAACAACCGGGAACATCATGAGGCAATTGGGAACGCAGCACTGAAAGGACATGATTACAGACGACAAATGATTCGTACCCACGGTTTTAATCCACACTTTCTATCTCAGGGTCGATTGGTTCGGAAAGAAAGAAAGATTTGTGGTAAAGGCGAACATGTATGGGTATTGAAGTTCGGGAAACATTGTTGAACAAGATGTCGGTCAGCCCGAATTCAACTTCTCGGGGTCCATCAAAAGCACTCGAATTGAAACTCTAAATACACAAACTATATGACACAAACCCAACAGGCAGACCACCGACAAATATTTGACAAACTCTTCTCTTGACGGTGGCATATATTGTGAGTTCTCCCACTGGGGGAACGAAAGGTATGGGCAGAGAAAGGTTGGGACCAAAACAAAAAGAATGGTGACGGCAGTTTGAGTCCTCAGATTGATAGCGATAATTCGGATACATCGTTTATTTTTTATACGGGACCGTACAATAATTCCAATTCATTTTCTATTGAGGGCATCATTTTGATAGAGGTGATTTTTGAGAATCGCCAAGTTGTTCGTTGTGGTTGAAACAGAGTGTGCTGAGTCAGCGTTATGATCATTTATGAAAGGCGGTGGCAGAACGATGAAGTAGCTAGCTCATTACCACGTGATCAAAACCTACCACTTCGGTTAACCGGTATGTGTGTGTGTCCCTCACTCAAAACAACTTTCACACCTTTCTTCAACTAATGTCTCATGACAACTTGCCGGGAGCATCAATAGATCACTTCCGGTAGTAGTGAAGCGCATATTGTTTCGTATTGGCGCAATGTGAAATGCTTCCAAGCTTGTTGTTGATCCAAGCCTCCATTTTCATTTTCCCCTCTTTCGCCCAAATTGAATGTTGTGTAAGCAACCTTTACCATACTTCAAAAACATTTCTGAGCCGTTCTTTCGAACTCTTTGGTTTAATTCTTCGATCTGTTACGTTATGCTAATTGATTTACGAATCTCAAATTATTGGAATCATCTATCATGATATCGGCCGTTTGTACCCGCGCATCTGTTACACATGATATGAGGAGATTCAGAGTCACATTCGACCACTTAAACCTCCAAGCTTCGATATTGAGTGCCCGTGTTCTAAGCCTCCAACGTCGTTGCATCGAAGAATCTCTCATAACGAGAACTTCTCCTCAATAGCAAGGATAATAATATTGTTCTGGTTGGTATCACGACATTCACGATGAATTCCTTCCTTGAAGTAATGCAGGGGATGTCCGCTCAACCCTCGGTTGTATATCATGACAAATTGCGACTCTACTATTTGGATCCTTAGTCTCCTAGATGCTATTTACTAGTCGTCTTGTCGTCCAATGTGGCAGGCTCAAGTCTTCCGAGTCTCCTATGTGCCAAACCAGCCTCAAGATGGGACCAGAATTCCACAAAACTGATATATCAATGAGATGAAACTAAGTAGATCAGTCTCAAACATACTCTCGCTATTTCATGTATCACGACGATTCTGTATTTGCCAAGGTTGGACAAACAATAGAATTTGCCATGGCTGAGACTGCAGACTTGCGGGGCAAGAAAGCATCAAGATGGAAAAACAAACATGAGACTTTTCAAAACCTTGCTCCTGCATTTCCAATATAATTCTGCAATGGATTGTCACTGTTAACGAAGAGCGAGCATTTCTGTTTGGCGAGCCGAACTTTTGATATCAGCCATCCCATCTATTCCAGTTCATTCTCCTGCCTTCCTACATCATCTAGTGGGGGTAAACTAGCTCATTCTTAACATTGCGACTCGAACTTCTCCTACTCCAAGAGGTCGACTCCATCCTCTCCCCATCTTCTCTTTGGCTCAACCTCATCATACGATACTGCAAGTGGTCGAGTTTGTACCTACAATTGCTGTGCTTTGAAAATGCTGGTTCTCACATGCATCCGCCCGCGTACGAACCGACGCTGTGAACGAGCCAAAAAGGTTCATGACATCGTATTCAAATGAGGGGCAGACGCAGACTTGAAGATTTTGAGTGGTTTCCCCTCATTTCTCGGACTGAAAGGCTAAGATCTTCGGCATTGCACGGCTGCAAAATTCTCTATATATACGGCTTGAATTTCCATGAAAGAATGAGAAAAGCGTCGATATCCATCACTCAGTTTATTTACATATCAACATTCATACTCATCAACTTAACTTAAATCGATTTTATCAACAACATCACAATGTCTATTCTTACCACCGAGCTTGCTTGCACGTCCGCCCCCGATCAAGTTTTACATCTCTTCTTCCAAGACGGTCAAAACATCCTCGAAGCCCGATCTCCAGATGGAGGTAGTGTCTGGACTACCCAAGATACCGTCATTGCCAAAGATGGAGACTACAATGGTTCTTCGATGACATGCTACTATGTAGACAAAGACGCAAACTTCGACAACCAGCCCGCAGTACGTGCTAGCTCATCGATGCTTAATTTTATTGGCTGACACATGATGTAGATTCATCTTCTTTACATGAACAAGGACAAGCATATGGTGGAGAAAATCAAGCGTATGAAGGGTGACAACCCCATTTGGGAGGATGTCAAGATCCCAGACGAGGTTAAGAAAGGGCCAGAGCAAAATTCAAAATTGACCAGTGGAGCTTTCAATGAAAGCAGCGGTTGGAACCCGAATGGATCGCAGTGGGCTTACTATTCAGCGTGAGTTATAATGTATGGTTCTTGGTTTCGTAAATTGGCTAATTTCAGTTACAGTGCCAAGGATGGTAAAATGGGCATCGTTGAAATTCGACGCACACCAAAGGATCCATGGCATACTGAGACTGTTCTCCCAGAGAACTTTGGCGATGCACTTCCAGGGTCCGCTCTAGCTTGTACAATCTCGAACAAGCACATCAGACTCTTCTTCCAGCACCATGACTACAGCATCAGGCTGTTTGAAAGTGATAATAGTCAATGGTATGGTAAGTATCGTCTGCATGCCAATATGCCCATGATTTTTTTGACTAATTGTCTTCTAGCTCGAGGCCCCTTCGTCGAGAAAGACAAGGTTCAGGCCACAACACCGCTCGCTTGCACTATGACAAAGGACGGAAGCATCCACCTCTTCTACGTTGGAAAGAACAACATGATCGTTCACTGCACAGATGGCAAGAAACACGAAGAACTTGTCCAATTCTACCCTGGCTCGAAGTTGGGCGCTACATCAGTCGACAACAAGATTACCTTGTTCTTCAGGAACTTGAACCCCGTCGGAGAGGTTGGCACGCTGGAGAACGACAACGGCTCATGGAAGCATGGTACTCCGGTCATTCGCGCATGAATTTAGTCGACGATGACGAGGAGGAGAATCTTTTCTTATGTTGATTTTCAGGACTCCTGCTCGGAAAAAAAAGCTCATCAATTTTCTTTCACGAATAACCACAACAAAAGTCATTTCGGGATGATATTCATGACCAAATTCACACTCATTGCAAGTTGGCTCGCCATTAATTAGTTACTAGTTACCTTTCCTACAAATCCAGTCATTTGCCTGCCCGAATTATGGTTTTACTCAATATGATCGTGAGATTTCTTGTGACAGTGGTTTCAGTGATTAGACCACAATATTCTCACCCTTCCAGACACTATATCAAACCTTCCGATAAATTCATTGTCTTGTAATGAAATTAGCCCTTGGTCAAACCCTCCCTGCCTTGACAAGAATCCTCGATTTTGTCCATGACGACACGTGATCATCGTAAGGATATCAAGTGGGCCAACTTACGAGGATCACCCAACACATATCGCACATAATACGAAATCGATCTTCTGTTATATGATTCTATCAATGAATAGCAACCAATATGCTAGGTGCATGTGTAAAACTTTCTCAGAGAGTCACTTAGAATGTGACTCAAAGCATCTTGCCGTCTAACACCGCCTTTGGAATTATCGAATGTTTGTGGGTCTTGGTGGATAACCTCAAATAAAATATATTATTCTCCAATCTCCTCATCCATGCATCAAATTCCACAGAGGAATTCACCTCAATATTCAGCTTCTTTGTCAATAACAACACCAAAGAAGATCCTAGAGATCAGACAAGCATGATAATGCCCATCCTGGCTATGTCTGTTTAGGTTTGGCAAGGCTGAGTTGACAACATGACATCCTTCACGTAAAAGTTAGGTTGATCGACAATGATATGTATAACCTACAAGCGTTGTCAAATTCTGCTTGACTGAACATTTTCCATTCTTGGAGGATAGATGTATCATATATAAGTGAAGACTTCTTAGTGAATTAAGATTCTTTCAACCGAACTTCAATATTGAATTAACTTCGATCGACCAAAACCTTAACCCTTAACCCCCATTGTTCTTGCAAGGTACAACATAAATCAAAAGGAATATTTCAATGCTTTACTGCATTTCTCCTCTCACCTAAGTCACTATGGACACCAAATCGCCATATGGTTCTTCGGAATCTTCGAAAGCAAAAAGCGAATCATTTACGAGTTCATATCCCGAAAGCCAAGCGCCGTCAACGTCGGGCTCATCGGCCGCACAGAGATTCCAACAGCAACAACAAGTGTCTTTCTTAGTTGGCGGAAAAACATACCTCTTTCCTTCCATATTTGGAGTCTACAGAGACGGGATGAGAAAGTTGTTTCTCTCTGAGCACCACATTACCACGCCCTTCATGTCAATCGCCACACACACTGGTCTCTCTGGCGAGCCGTCGATTGTTATCTCGTCACCAACCGCTGTGATGGCAACTGCCGACTTTCATTCGTTTTCCTCCAAAACCGATCTCGTAGTCGGCAATACCTCAGCCTGTTTACAGTCAACCGGTTTCCTTTCAGCAGTCTGGGATTTTACATACACGTTTGATGACGGACATCAGGAAGTCTTTGAGTGGAGACGAAGCTCCGGAGATGCAGTCGCCGGATTGGGTGGAAGAAGTAAGGGTCACAAACTAGTGAGGGTATCGAGTGGAGAAGTAGTGGCAGCGTGGACACATCCTGGAGGAATGAGCTTGGACAAGGTGGCGAAGATTGGGATTTTGGATAGCGCGAGGGCACATGGATGGGGAGAAAGATGGGAGGTTACGGTGGTGGTAGGAACGATAGCACTTATCGAGAAAGAAAGGAGAACGAGGAACAATGCTGCTGCTGCCGCGTAGAGTGAGGTTATATGGTTGAATTTCGAGGTCAACTTCGGAGGACTTAATGTGATACCAAGTTTTTGAAGGAATTGAAGAGAATTAATTGGATTCGTTGCGTTTGAAATAAGTCGAAGTTTGGCAAGCGTTTGATATGCTAGTAGCATAAGCACTGCAAGTAGGAAATGCAAAATATTGCACGCCATGAATTTTCCCAAATCGCATTTATCTATTTCATTTACCACAAAAAGATTCGAAAGATCGGACATCATCAAGCTTGAGCCATTTGCCCTAATTAGTGATCAAATGAAAATACTACAATTATGAAGCGAGCATTCTTATTTTAGCAACCTTCTAAAACACAGGAACAAGCTCTTCTATTCTTCGATTGCTCCGATACTCATCACACCACGGTTCAATCTCTTTGTTTATATCATAAAAATAATTCCGCCAAATATTCGTGGCATGGTATAATCCCAACAGGCCTTTGTTCTCGGGGACAACAAATCGAGATTTGTACGGAGTGTCCCACGTGGCAAGAACAAAGTCCTCAAAAAGAACTTTCTGCACCACTAGTGATTGGTCATAGAATTGTTTGAATTAGACTGTATGTTTTCTAGCGGTGTATAATGAGTGGTAAAAGTATACTACACTTTCCTCAATGAAAGAACAAATATATCATCAGCGCCGCACTAATCCCCTCGCGGAACACTACCACTTCTTTCAAACAATATGATAATTTCCTCGCATCCTCAATTTTCCAAACCTTCTCGTCGCCACCAATTCAAACTTAAGACATACTCGTCGTCTAAACTGCGAAAATGACATATAGTCCCAGCAGTCCAATCATGCGTCCCCAAGAGGACCACGAAGGACTCCAAGTCGTCCCCGACGACGGTCTGCAAACTCCTGACCCGGAAGAATCTCCCGTCGCCAACGATCTCAAGTTCCAACCCTATTCTGCGGGATCCGCCTATGGCGGTCCCTTGAACGTCCGCGATCCTGGTTTCGAGGTTAAGCCAGGTCCTGAATCGCCGCCTCCGGCTTTCCATCTTATCAATGAATATAAAACCGGCCGAAATAATACGTTGCCGATCGAAGATGCCCCTCCGCCACAAAGCGTCAAAGATAAACGAGTGTGTGGCTTGAGAAAACGAACTTTTTGGTTGTTGATGCTACTATTCCTTATCGCGATTATTGCCCTAGCCGTCGGTCTAGGTGTAGGACTCAGCGGGTCCAAATCATCCACCCCCTCCAGCACCTCCAATTCCAGCTCCTCCACATCAGCACCTACAATCGGCACCAGTACCTCATCTGCCGCCCCATCGGCCTCTTCTCCCATCGGACAAACATGCGTCAACGGTACCGGCCCCGGAAACTATCTCGGCCTCTGTTCCTTCTCCTGTAACTTTGGCTATTGTCCCTCCCCCTGCACCTGTCTTCAATTTTCCGCAACCGCGGTCCCCGCACCCCCTATCTCAAATACCCCGGGATTTCCTCTGCCAGGGCTAAATGTAGATTATACGGGTTTGTGCAGTTTTACGTGTAATCATGGGTATTGTCCCGAAGGGGCTTGCACCACGGATTCTTCGGCTGCAGGAGGGAACTCTACTGCTTCGACACCCAGCTCGGTCTCTTCTTCGAGGTCATCGGTGACGTCGAGTGCGGCACCGTTGACGCTGACGGCGCCGACGAGTACGGTGGTTGTTACATTGCAGGGTTCGCAGACGAGTACGGTGGTCGTGGCGCCGACGATGACGGGATAGTGTGGTGGGTGGGTGGGTGTGGTGTTGAGGATGGTTTAGATTGTTTATTTGGAAATGTGATGGATAGTGTTTGTTATATATGGGAATGATGGATATGAAATTGAGAGGGTGTTAGAGAAGAAGGTAAAAGATATCTTGTATTATACATTTCTTATTGTCGCTTTCATTGTACATGTATTGGATCGGATGCGTTTCTCAGGAAAGAACAAAAGACGTCATTGAATTGTACTCGTGTATAGAATTTGTTAGAGTTAAAAATTGTATGGAAGACTTTACTATTGCTCGCTACTTCATGGATTAGGTGGCTCTATATACGAAGGTTCTGTGAGAGGGATTGAGCCATTGTGTAACAATTGGTAATTAGCGATGCTCAAAAGTTCGAGTCGGGTTAATCTTCTTTTGGTTCTAACAAAGAAGCTTATCTGTTAAATTGGAATCGAGTTGTAGATTAGACCGCGAGTACACAGATCTAAGTCTACCACGCCATCTAGCACGCACTGTTACTCACTTGGAACTTCAACTCAAAACTCAGAATCTCAGATGATTAGTTGAAGATTGAGCCACGCAAATTGGACTTTTATTCAGACTGGATAACCTAGCAAAGTACTTATCTTATCCAGACAGGAATTCAAGGAAATGACACTCCGGGTTGCATCTATTCGTAGATACTACGCACATCGTCATTAACTTTGTGAATTCTCTGATCTGTATAAAACTTATACGGCATTTGCAAGATGATAGACGATTGATACCTCACACTGTACTATACCACTATGTGGCACAACATATCGCTTCGGAAAGGGGATCGTCAGAATTCTTCGGACCATCACGGCGGAGCACCTCCCTAAAGTAGAGCATTTGCCGAAATATCCCTACATATCAAAAGTGGAGATGAGTCTCTTGGATGGAAGGAAGATCTGGTATTTCTCAGAACCTTTGAGGTCGAGACAGGAGAATAGCTGCTGCTGTCATTAGCAGTTGAACAGCGAATATAGTTCGACCTAAGAAGGTTTTCTTTTTTTTACCTTACATGAAATCCAAACACATTTGCGGCAAAGTTCCTAATCATGTTTTTTTGGAGACTGATATGATATGAGGACTAAAGAGAAGCTGGGAGCTCGAATTTACCAGCGATATGGTGAATTCAGATTCGTATACTATATGTTTAATACCCAGTCGGATGATGTATACAAAGTGAAGCCGATTCAGACTTGCAAATATTGCATCATAACAGGTATATCCTTGTTTGATAAGGATGCACCAAACACCTTGCATGTCAACCCCGCAATGTTGATTGAAAGATAAGGTCATATCACCAGTCAACACAGCGGAAGCGGAAGGGTAATAGAAAATCTTGCTTGAGCTCCATACGAAGCCACTGGTCAAGGTGCCAATGACTGAATAAGTGGGTGTCTCCCATTTATTGGTTGTGGAGGAAACTACCAGTATGCGATATATGAATCCTTTGTTGGTCTAACAAAATCTAGGGGAATTCTCATGATACTCGAGTCCAACCATCTGTAGATGCTCATTATTACTCCAATTTCAGATTATTTCCCAATCTTGATTACCCGGGAATTAATCTGCATGATTCAACTAATTCCAATGTAGATGCCTCCTTCCATTACTCAAACGGAAATACTTCCATCAAGTATGCAAAGAACCCCTTCCCTCTCAGGATACCAATGATATGATGTAAAAATATCTGATTTGAGTTGCAGTAACGTTTAAGGCAGTAGCACTCGCACTGCATCAAACGGGAATGTGTACAAGAAGTTACAAGCATCAGATTGCAATGGACTAGAGTGGAAGGAAGTTGTCGGCTATGTAGTGTTAGCTGAATGGATACCCACCCACATCCGCTTCTTTCAGTAAGTCATTGATTAGTTGATGTTTTTTTGATCATTCTCACATCTGCTGTCATTAGTCTCGGGCGCAACCTTCATGCAAATAGCAAACAAAGTACCTTTGCATATCATGTAATACATCGCTGAATGTATATGCTTTGTAGCAAGATCCTAGGTGAACAGGCTGACTACATATTGGAGAGGGTACTGTAGCTATCTCATCCGCCATGGCTCTTTCTTCTTCTTTCCTACTTACTCTCTCCTAAGCTTACAAATTGAAATTCCCCTTGGGAATATCCACCTCGATTACTCTCTATTACAAAGTCTTTGATTACTAAATAAAATTTCATTTCAATCAAACCCTCTTGGTCTCTTTGTCAAAACAAAGTGAAAGAAATAAAAGAGCAATTCATTTGAATTATCACAAACAGCTAGTAGCTACCCACGTCCCTTATTCACTTAAGCTTTAGTGCCTTGGATACTCCCTGTTACTTTCATTAGCTTCCAGCTCACTAGTGCGTTACCAATACGTTACTCTTACTTAAGTTAGTAGGCTGCGCAACGGGTACCCGCGGGGCGGATTATTGGCCTGGCGGGTCCCCCGCGGGTCCTCCGTTTGCGGGGCGGATAATAGAAAAATCTGAATGGGGACCCGTTGGGTATCCGCTGCAAATACTCCGCAAATACTCCGCAGATATAAATTTTATAATATTTATAATATTATAAATATTAATATAATATTAGTATAATATTAGTATAATTATAAAAATATATTGGTTTTTATATTAATCTTT